CACATGAATATCGCCACATGAAATCAATGGGCACGGCCTTTAAGGGATTGTAACTTTATGGCTGCCATGGCAAGGGGGTTATGCATTGGCTGGATTGACAAAATACGCTGAACTCTAAGCTCTGGCCACAAAACACAATGAGGTTCACATGACGTGCTAGGCCCAAGCAAATGATGGCTTAACATGAAGGTCCCACCCCACATGTTAAGACAGTTTCATGATGAGCTGAAACATAAATGCTCCAGCCATATCTCAGCCTAGGAGGCTGAAAGAACCCAGCTATTGGACCGCCATAATGTGATAACAGTAATAACCACAAAGTCCATCTTGCCCCCATCAGAATGGATCCCCAATGAGGACTACTTTTCATACATGCAGAGTTGGGTGGTTGACCCAGAATATTCAAATGGGATTTTATCTATTTATTTGCGAAATACTTTTATCCCCTGCAATTGAGAGACACTCGGTGCCTATTGTTAGCAAGGTGTAAGAATAAAACCGCTGCATTTAACAATAAAGCCAGCCTTCTATAAAGAATTTTATATAACTGTATGAACTGAAGCAGGGAGAACATCGCAGAACAGCCAATCTGAAAGCAGTCAGAAGGTGGACATCTCTAATTCAAAGGCCTCTTCAGCAGTTCTGTCCTTAGTCATTTTCTATCTCTTGGGTGAAATCTTCCAGGAAAGTTCGTCACACACACACACACACACACTAGTTAAATGTTAACAGCAGGGATGGCGAACCTTTTGGGCTCGGCGTGTCAAAAATTGACACTGGACTCTGTTGGCATGTCACCCTCCCCACCCCTGAAGAAAAGAGAAACAATTCTTTACATATTCATTTATTTTAAAAAAATACAGTCCAATCCTGTGTGGTGCTATGTATTATATAAAGAGACGTCAAATAATTACAGAAATGAAATACGAGTAAAACAAACTCAGTTTCTTTGGTAAATGGGGAATAGTTGTTGTCAGGTGTTGGTGAACACTGGCGTGTCACCCCAAACGTTGTGGCGTGTCACCTTTGACATGCGTGTCATAGGTTCGCCATCCCATCTATGAGGGAATGTTAAATTGGACCAAATTTTCCCCGGCTCATAGGACTTGCTACCCGTTGGGTTCAAATATAAGTGAGACAGGAATTCATGCTTGGATCTTCTGAAACTTTCAATATTTGATGCCATTGGTGGGGGGTTTGAGATTCCCAGTTTTCATTGGCACACTGATGCTGGGGGGTGGGAATTTCAGCACCACCACCAACAATTGAAATATACCTGGATTGAGCCATGATTACTGTTTCTCCAGTGGAAGTAAATCAGCTTTGTACCTGGGAGAGGGTGTGATCATGGGGGTCTACAGGCATTGGGGGGTACATAATTGTCCCACTCGTGTATTGATGTCACCACGTTAATGTCATCAGACACTGCTGGGTGTGCGGATCCCTTGATTAAATTATTACCTTGGCTCCCTTTGGCTATTTTTCTAAATCCAGAGTTCCAGTCATGAATCTTCTGTTTTAAATGTGGTTGGCCCTGTGCAAAACATAACTTGTAGGACTGTTCTGAAGATTAAATAGAAGTCTCTCTGAGTCAAACTCAATTCCTGGTGATTACAAGGAATTGTATTGATTACATGTCAGGGTTTCTTGGCAAAAATACAGGAAGGGTTTGCCATTGCCTTCTTCCAGGGTTTTTTTTTTCAATGTCCCACTTTTAATCTACCATCCTGGGATCTCCTGTTCATCTCCCACCCAAACACTAATTGAATCTGACCCCGTGTAGCTTTTTGGAGATCAGCTAACAGCATGTTCCCTCTTCTGTGTAATAATCTTATACTTCCTAAGTTCCTTGAAGATTAAAACAGGCCAGGAGTATTATCAATAAAAGTTTGTAAATAGAAATCCAAGAACTATCATTATACACACACACCTGCTCCATGTACATGATTATGTTAATTATTGAAACAGTTTGAAATGTGACATAGCTAAGAGTTGGCATGTACTGCCCAGTTTGAGATGCTGAAATAGCAGCCCAGGTTGCCTCATGTCATGCTCTGTCAAGACCATCACCCTACATGCACCAACTCACATTAGTAGAAAGCAGGACATGTTTTCCCTCCTCTGGGAGATGGTGTAGAAAGCTAAAAGCCTAAAAGTTCAGGGCCAGAGAGCCTCTGGTGATGAGTGATCAGTTCTGGCTGATAGGTGTGAAGTTGGCGATTTTTTTCTGCAGAAATGGCCTAACGCAGAGGCTGGTGGAGGACTGGAGAAGAGGGAGAGAGACCTGAAGATAAGCAGAAGGAGGATGGAAATAGGAGAGATGGGTAGCATCAACCCCAAGGCAGGGCAGGGAAAGACTGACCCGCTAGGGCTGGGCCCATCTACTTACTCGAGGAGAAGGAAGGGCTACAGCTTAGAGATCAAGCAAATGTGGTTTCTCACCGATGGCATAAAGTGGTGCAGTCCATGCAATCTTCGCAGGGCTTTGCCACCACCTCTTCCTACTGCTGCAGAGCTAGACACAGGCTGTCTTCCTCTTTCACACATTCAGATTGCCAAGAAATACTAGTGATCAATATTCCTGGAATGCTGTGGGCATAAAGACAAGACCAAAGGCAGCATCTCCCCCAACGATTGCATTTCTTTTTTTGGAGGGGGGGGGAAGAATTACACAAGAGGAAAATTCGTATCTGCGAGAGGAGGAGGGATTCCATTGCTAAGGCCTCTACCTGAAGGATGGCAACATCCCACGTTGGGGAGAGGTACACGTTGCTCCTTCCCAGCTGTTGTGTGGATCCCAGCCAACCCCCACCCCCATAACTGAGGACAGAGGCCTGCAAAGAGATCTTGGGGCAGGGAAGCCAAGTGGAAATTCACCCTGAAGTTCTGGGGGGAAGTCCAGAGTGGGGAGGGAGGAACTGCTGCCATGTGCTTCTCCCTAAATATGCACATGACACTGTGTGTTTGGAAGTGCATTTTTATGCTAAGGAGAGGGGAAGCATAGAGAGAACTGGGCCAAAGAGATCCTTTGGGGGAAAAAAGAGACTGAATGCCCCTCAGGAGGCCAGGAAGACATGTTTCTACCCCAACCCTAACTAGAAAAGCCGTTTTGGCTTGCTGGCTACCTGCCTGTCAATATTACGACTGGTCATTGTACTAGAAGGAAGTGGTCATTGACCCAATAAAGATGTGTGTGTGTGTGTGTGTGTGTGTGTGTGTGTACTAGAAGGAACTGTGTGTGGCCAGCAGCGGCACAGATATATAGCTTTGAACCCATGGCCGAATGCATCTCCACTCTCCAAGGTATGCCCCCACTGACCTCCAAAAGAGATCCCCACATGGAAACGTTTAAAGAGACGGAAGGGAGACATGAAGAAAGATGAACTTCTCAGGACTAGATCAAACTCCCCTGAAGGTTAATCAAGGGCGAATGAAATGGATTTTAGTTTTTAGCCTAGCTCTGCCCCTCTTTGGGAGGACAGGGCCCCCAGAAGTGCATTGCACTCTTACTTTGTACTGTGCAAAGCTCCTGGGGGAGCAAAGGCCTCCCCTGAAGTGCCAGCATCACCTGGAAAAGCTCCCAACAGCTGGCTTCCCTCCCGGGCCTGGTGGACGTGCACCTGTTCCTTGTTAGTTCTGGGGTGGGGGGAAAACTGGAGCAAGAGCTCCAGCTTCCTGCATCTCCAAAAAACCTCAGCTCTGCCCTCTTCTTTTGGCTCTACCCATCTCTGAGAGAGCAAGAGAGAAGCCTGGGAACACAAAGGCACACATTCCCTAGGGTTGTCACAGCCATGCCAGGCCCTCCACAGCTGTGGTTTTCTTCCCTCCCTTGTCTCCTTTCAGCTCCGACTCCAATCTGTGTGTCTTTGTTCTCTTCCTGGGCTGAGCTGAACTCGGCCAGACTGAGCCAGCTGCGAGGAATCTAGATTTACACGATCCAGGGATTTGGGGATCCTCTTTCGCCCCTTCCCCTTGGCTCTCCTTTCTGACTGAAACTCTGCATTTCCTTTCCCTCGCATTTTCCTATCGTCCATCACCTTGTGCGGCAGCATTTGCAATGGAAAGGGATTCAGTGCGCAAGGCAGATCTATTCCACAGCTGGGCCTTCTTCACGGCAGCTCTGGGCCCGGAAGAGGGCAGCAGAAGAAGAAACACCTGGGTGGAATCTCAATATGTTCAAAACAGTGAAAACAGAAAGGGAAGGGCCGTTGCACAGGTGAGGAAAGAGATGGGCTTCTGACCTGAGGTGATGTTGCAGCCTTCTAGACTGGATCCTCTAACATAGCTTGGATTTTAAATTAATCTAGCTGAATAGTTTTCCTTCCCCTAAATGCAAGTACCATCCCCTCCAATAACAACCCAAATGCCCCAGTAGGCATCTGGAAGGCTTGCTTTCCACTGCCAAGAGACCTTCTGAGAAGTGACATGGTGAGAACTCCGTCCTCCATTGATCCATTTCTGGACCAGCCTGTGGGGAAAGACAGGATTAGTTCACCACATGCACAACTGTGTATGAACTGTGTATGGCCAGCAGCGGCACAGATATATAGCTTTGAACCCATGGCCGAATGCATCTCCACTCTCCAAGGTATGCCCCCATGACCTCCAAAAGAGATCCCCACATGGTAACGTTTAAAGAGACGGAAGGGAGACATGATGAAAGACGTGACTTTCAGGACTAGATCAAACTCTCCTGAAGGTTAATCAGCGGGATTAATGGGGTTAATCAAAGAGATTCTTTTCACAGGAAAAGAAAAGGGATCCTGCTTGGTGGACATCTTCTTTCCAAAATGGCTGCCATACACAGACCTGGTTTGGTTTATTAGAAGCCAACCGACCCCAGAAGTCATTGCAAAGGAATAACCCCATTTCTCCCTCCACCTATACTCCTCAGGACATACAACGTCCAGCACAGACTGCCCCAGACGTACAAAATCTGGCGATGAGTGACTTATAGGGCTTCCAAATGAGAAAGAGAAGGCCGCCACAGCTTCCTTGTTTTAAAATTCTTTATTTATAAAAAAGTACACTTCTTTCAACAGTTGAACCACTATTCTTCTCTCTCTTTCTTTTAAAATTTTATTTTATACAAGTAAAAGAAGGTAAAGCGAGTGCTGCCTCCAAATGAAAATTCCCTCCATTTCCCCCCGAAACAAACAAAAAAAATTAAACAAAGGAACAAAGGAAATCATTACAAAGAATGGGGAAAATTAAAAATAAAACAACTAATGAAAGCAAGTTCAGTTCATTACACTATCTATAATATTTTTCTTCGTCTCCACTTTTTTTTTTTTTTACAAAAAAGCACTTACAACACAGATAACACCCCCCCCCCAAAATTGACCTTTTTATTTATCTTATGCCACAATGTTTATTATAGCAGGAATGTGGTGAATGGGCAGGAGACAGATAAAGTATAGAGAGACTCATCTGAGTGAAGGGAATACATTGGAATTTAGAAAAGAAAGGAAATAAAAATAATGCAGTTTATTATCTGGTGGCATTTATTTGCACTGCCTGGATATCTTATCTCAGAAAAGCGCTATGTACACATTTGCTTTCAAGAGAAGACCTTATAGGAAGTTTTGCCTGCACTGTAACCTTGTATTTTTGGTTCATAAATCCAGAATGAGGATCAAACCTCACTCTATTTTCTGGACAAATTTCACTGGTGGTGTGAGCAGAGTTCCTCTGCTCTCGTGCATAATCCCACCCCCCAAATATTTTTTCAGTGGCCTTACCCTTCTGTGATTTGGATTAATTAACAGCCCAAACCTGTTCTGTCCAAAGAATGAACTAGACCTCCGTTTAAAACCCCCATCTAAGCCTTTTTCCAGCAAGACTCTCTTATTTTCACCCAACCTCAACACTTATGGTGGGGGTCATTTTCTCCCCACGAGAACTCTAGCTGTCTTCTCTTTTTGTTTTTTTTTAAACTGCTGGAATAAAAAAAGAAATGATTCAAAAAGAAGAGAAGAAAGGAAATTGGTCTCATCGTGAAATAAGGGAAGTCCAATTGCTGGGGGGAACTGTGATGGGTAAAGCTCACCCATAAATTCCTCCCCAAAACACCTGGCATGTTTTCTTCCAGCCAGATGTGGTCTGCCATACAGAGCTTCATTTGGTAGAAAAACTGGGAACAGGAGTAATGTTGGGTCTGGATTACAATCCAGAAGGAAAGTTGGGGTTCTATTTTGGTTGACTCCCATAATGTTTGAAGCACTGCCTACCCTCCCCAATGAGAACAGAGTCTTGCCGCGTGTGGAAGATCACTCTAGAGATAACTAATAAGAGTCTTCATACTTAAATAGAATCTCCATGCCAAGAAGATGTCTACCCAGGACCTGACCCTCTAATGCTGATGACAATCCAGAGGGAGGATGGTGGCCTTCAGTGAACAAATGTGCAGTTTGGAGCAGTGTCCACTGATGGAAGCCATGTGCAACATTTGATAGGACTGTGACCCAAACCAGTTGGCATTTCTTAGTCTCACATACCTGCAGTTTTTTCATAAAAACCTGCTCTTTTACAAGCCCATCTCTCTTATAGCTAAAGACAGAGAATGGTCTAAAAACAAAATAGCAAAGGCGATATTAGGTCATGGTCGAGAGACGTATATTTCTTGCCTTGACTCTTTAATCAGATTTTGCAGATTTTTTTTAGAAGCATGCATGACTCTAAGAGTCTGTCTCCAGCCTGTCATGTACAAGTAGTAAGGCTGAAATGATCATGCACCCTGATCACAGAAAATATGGTTACTTTGATATCTAAAAGGATCCTCTCGTAGTGGCCCTAGGACTCCCCAAGGTGTACAAGGAGGCCCAGGGTCAAGAAACTTAAAAAGTCATGGGCTGAGTTGGTGCCCAGAGAGATTGATCAGCAAGGACATTTGAAAAATCCTGTTCAAAGAAAGGGAAGGAAGCCCATTAGAGGGAGGCTAGTTCTTGCCAATGGGAAGAGAACTCACCACTGGTCCAAAGGAAATGGAATTAGTTTAGGTCAGTATGTCTCAACCTTGGCAGCTTGAAGACGTGTGGACTTCCACACGTCCCCAGCCAGAAACACTCCCAGAAGTCCCCAGCCAGAAACACTGGTCTAGGTGATTCTTGACAAGGCCCAAACATCCTACCATTTTCAGGGAGGAAAAGTCAGGGCTGGGGAGGCAGACTTACAGCTGAAAGAGAACGGCTACCTCAAAGGGCTATCTCAGGGCTGAGCAACCTTGCTGTCTTCCAAAAGTTTGGACGACAACTCCCATGTGCCAAAAAATAGCTAACCACCTGAGCTTATAGCAACTGTAACTATCCTCCAACCATTGGGTTTCCAATCAACGCACCCTCCAGGCTTTGAAAACACCGGTCCTATCACACTGATCAAAATTCTGAAGAATACCTTAAAGAGGTTACTGTACCAAATCTTCAAGGGGATACTATTAGCTGCACTCTGGGGAAGCTAATGAGTCTCTTCTCCGGTGAAATCTGAGGAAAGTGAGGAGGACCGGAGGCAGGCAACATGTGGTGATTTAGGACATATGGACACGAAGGCAGGGATTCTTCCAGAGCAAGTAGGAATCTTGTATTTTTACTAAATCGGCTGATGCTTCTGCCGGACTACAAACCTACAGCTTTGGTATACTGTGCATGTAAAACAGGAGTCTCAGACAGGTGGATTGAACCTACAGAAGCCACATATGTTTCTATCATTTTGGATCCTGAGCAGATCAAAACTTTGATCCAGATTCCTCCATTAATTTTTTTATTGCAGACATTTTATTCCATGCTGTAGATTAGTAGGGAGCCAGCCAGCCCTGCATCTGGACCCGGTCATGTCCCTGCTGTTATGATTTTAGAATGGACAGTCTGATGAGGGACTGAAGTGTTGAGTGGAAAGAAGCAATTTAACACAGAAGGAGCTTGCATGCAGCTGCAGAAATGCCAGACTACCTGGCAAGATCATGCTTTTTGTTTTAAATAAATCTTGCTACGGGGAGGTTAGCGTTCAGCTGGGAGAATGGGTGGCTTTCATGAACACTGTGTTGTGCTTTATTTTGCAGGCAGGTAATGCAAATGTGCGTGTGTGTGTGTATCTGTGTCCATGTACACTAGTTTGCTTCACACCCAAGGGCTGCTAATGCTGCTGAGTTTGTATAAATTCAAACACTGCTAGGACAACGTTGGCTTGGTGGAACTGCTGAATTTTGGTGTATGGGTACACTCTGTCATGCTCTCTTGCACTGCTCATGCAATTAAGAAGTGCAATGAGTCTCCCTGCTTTTTTTTTTTTTTTTTGCAACAGCAGCTACCTCTATATGCAAGCAAAAACATCAGGACAGATGATGTTGTCAGAGTTGGACATGGCTAGCAGACTGAAAAAGCCCAAACCAAAACAGTGCCAACAGAAAATTGGACACTGTCCTGATTTCTTAAAAAATCTCCATCAACATTAAATGTTTTAACATTTCAAAACATTAAGAAAACCCTGTACAGAAGATGTACTAATGGAAAGGAATGTTAAGGAATTGAGTTGCTCTGTTTGTCCTGTTATCCGTTGGCTGAGCAACCCAAAAGATTTATTTAAAAAAATTGAAGACACTCTATAAAAATCATGCACATAGCCAAATTTTCTACAATTGGGGTGGTAGATAGCATTCTGCGTGGGCCACCTGCCCACTTATTTTATGGTCCTGGAATGAAAAACAAAGAAGCAGCAGTAGGTCCTCCTGTTTCTGATGGTCAACCACATAAAATATTTCAAGTTTTGTTCCAACAGAACACTCACTTTTTTTCAAGTTTTGTTCTGATGGAACATTCAATCCATTTCAAGTTTTGTTCCAAACATACAGGCCAACTCAAAGCATTCCAGCAGAGCAGTTTTGATTTGAGCCCCAAACAAAAACACATTTTCTAGTTTCACACACATCTCTCTTTGCTTGCCACTTGAGGCTATTTAATTGGAAGAGCCAGTGACTGGACTTGGAGCCTCCTGCATGCCTACAAAGCTAATGTTCAGTCTGTTGAGCTCTGCCAGTTCCCTTGCAGACTTCCAACAATAAACACTGTGACTTGATGAAGGAGAACAAGCATCTTCTTGCTAGTCTGTTCGCTAACTGATAATTCCAGGAATGGGAAATGGGTAGGAAGTGGAGTTGGGAAAGTGAATCTAAGTTGATCCTCATCAACAGAAATGTTGGGGCCAGGAGCAAACTTGGGGGAAAAAAGAGATAATGCGGCATGCAAATCTTGACAGACCCTGTACCTCTCTCTTAAAATCGTAATTAAAAACAAAACAACGAAAAAAGACCCACGCTTATTATGCTTCTCCTCCCTGGATATCATGCACTCTGTTGTTTGCTTCTTTCCCCAAATGTTCCTCTGATGATGAAGTCGCGTCTACTTTTTGTGGTCATTGATAAAGGCAGGTGATATTTCTCTTCCCACCATAAGTGCGCTGTGGGAAATGGCAACAGAAGATGCTGAGAGGAAGATGCAAGCACAGAGATCCAGGTAGTCTGAAGGGCGCTCTTGGCCCCAGCTCTGTGCGTTTGTGCTTTCGGTTTCTGCAGCGCCCAGCCCCACCTTGCCTTCCAAAGTCCATGGCGGTGCCTTTGGCCCTCTCCCCTCCCCAACGTTAAGACAATAAACAAATTCCAGTGTTTTTGAAGGGGGAGGTGAGAGGAGCCCAAAGACTGACAAAGAGACACCTGAAGATGCAACCAGGAGGTGTGGATGGGGTGGGATTCGTACACTATACAAAGACAGGCAATAATAATTAAAGTATTAACATCAAAGCCACCACTGATCAGTACAAACGACACTTTAAGGGACCAAACTCAGTTGGAGAAATTAAGTGGGGGAGGAGAAACCTTCCTCACCTCTCCCAAAGAAAACAAAATTAAGAAGCCAAGCAACACCCCGGCCCCCAAGTCCCCTGCGTTGCCTCTCCTGGAATGCCCCCAAACCAGTGGAAGTTCTTGTTTGCTTCTGTAGGGTCTCTGTATTCTGTGCCCCACTCGCCAGCTGATGGGTGTCTGTGTGTGTGTGTGTGTGTTGGGGGGCGGCTCTGGGTGTGTGACAAGGCACACAGGCTATGCAGAGCAGCCACCAGCCCTGGGGCACGGAGGCAGCACGTGGCAGGTGAAGAGAGGGCAGGAGAGGGGAGAAGGTGGACCAAGCTACACATACCACTCTTTTTTGGAAATAAAAGACCCGTCATTCTGAGAGACCATGTTATCGGCTATGTCCAGCTGCTCGGGGTCATACTGGAATCCAAGTGTCCGTTCGTTGTAGGCTTCGGAGCGGGCTTCGCCCTCGTCCACCGTGAAGTAAGGCCGCTTGGAGTCCTCCTCGTACTTGTTGGGGCAGGCTCGCAGTTTCCGCTCTGCCCCGGCGCCATCGTCGTCTTCGTCCTCGTAGCTGTTGCTGCCCAGTGGGCCGGGCTTCTTCTCATCATCCGAATCGTCGGGATACTGGAGGTTCTGGGCCATGGGCGGGTGATGCTGAGGGATGCCAGCTTTGCTGTACCCGTTGCCGTAGACGTGCTTCTTGGTGCTGTAATCGCCCTTGAATGTGTGGCGCCGGTGGCGGAGCACCACAAGGACGACCACGGCCACCACTACGACCAACGAGGCTCCGCCCACCACGCCCCCAATCACGGCAGTGGGGATGGTCGGCTGTGCCACGGATGTGCCCGGTGGAGACGGGGTGTAGGGGAATTCTGGGTAGGAAAAGACAGATGGAAGGGGGAACAAGCATCAGTCTGTGAGGAATGGCAAACACATGCTTTCAGAATTAAAATAATAATAATAATTTCAAAAAATTGGGGGAGATGAGGAGAAGGAAAAGGGGAGGGAAAAGCCAGGGAAGGGGGCAGGAAGTGCCTACCTATGGAAGCCCTGATCTGGGCTCTTCAGACTCAGCTCTGTGGTCAGAAAAACCTTGCCCTCTCATGGAGCCCGTTGCAGGAGCGCCGATAACTCCCAACCAGGGCACTCCAGCAGCATTGCACGTAATCCCCTTATACCAAATCAGATTTCTTCCCTATACCCCACAATGGGGTCCACAAGAATGTGCATCCCCGTGAGAGACCTTCAGAAACTCATGGAGTCCAAAATGAATTCCCTCTCTGCTTCCTCTTGCAAATACTAACATAAGATTCTGCCTGGACCTTCTTGCCAAATATTCAGTGAATCCCTGAGATAGTTTAATTTTCATATGCATTAATTCCTCATGATAATCTGATCTGATGTGGTTCATGAGGTTGTGATGTTCATATTTGAGATGTTAAGATCTGACAGGCACCCAAATCAAGAGAGGCACCAACAAGACTGAACAATGAGGTAGAATGCTGTAGCTGTAATGCAGATCTGAACATTGCAACCTATTGTAACCATAGTTACAGCACCAAGGAGATTCCAGCAGAATGCTTTCATATGTAGCTGGGCAATCTGCACCCTTTTAAATGCAGAAAAGCTGACTCTTATATGCATGCTCTCTAAACCATACTGGTTTTCTTCTTATTTTGGAATACCTGGTGTTAAGGGATACCCTGTGTTTGGTCATGAATATATTATTCATTTGTCACTTTCATGATTACAGGTAATCCTCACTTAACAAGCACAATAGGGACCGGAAAATTAGTTGTTGAGTGGGGCAGTCATTAAGCGAGTCATCACGTGACCAGACCCAATTTTACGGCCATTTTATGATGGCCGTTAAGCGAAACACGTGGTCATTGAGCAAATGGACGTTTTCTGTCGAAATTCGCTTAACGATCACGTGATTTGCCTAATAACTCTCATAAAAAAGGTCACAAATCACCATCATGTGACTGTGGGGGTAGTGCAATGGTTTGCGACAGTTGTAAGTGTGAGTACAGATCGTAAAGCACTTTTTCCAAGGCCATCGTAACTTTGAACCATTGTTAAATGAACGGTCACTAAGCGAGGACTACCCGTAATGGCTACTGAGATGTCTACCTCACTCCACGGGTCTAATACCCTTAGCTTGAAGGTTCATAGGCATGCCATCCCCAGGGGAATCCTTAGAAGAGATATCAAAGCAGGCAAAATAGTAGGTGTTGTGTCACAATGCAAACTCAACTCTTTTGTACAAACGTGCACATGTGTACAAAGGGGTAGGGCTTGTATTGTGCTGCTGTGTCCATTATCTTGCTCGTTTTGAGCCCCTCAGGCAAATCCCACTGCTGATCCCCCAACGTTCCTGAGCGGTGGGCATTTTGATAGATTGGTGTGTGCTGATTTTAGCAGACAGCTTTCGAACATGTGTATGATCTTGACCTAGGCAGGAGAATACCACCAAGCAAAGTGCCCCGAACAAAGCGAGTCCTATAAATGTGATCAGGCATTACAAATTCTGTAAATTTCCAAATTTACTACATTCCTGCAGACCTCAGGATTCAACCTTCAGTGCTAGGAATCTTGAAGACAAGCCTCATCTACACCCTACCGAAGTTGCCCACAATGGGGGGGGGGCAGTGGCTTCGGCTCAATGCCAATGATTTCCCTTGGTGACCCCAAATTCTACTCCCCAAAGAACAGAAGGCTCTCTTCCTTCAATGCCTTCTGTTCACGACTTTAAGGTCCTCCTCTCCACATCATGTGGTGGAAAAGCTCAAGTGGGCCAGGCAGGAACGCACAATTCCCAGGCCAGACACGATCTCGCTGTGTCAACATGCAACAGATGTCTCTGACTCTCAAGGGTGGGAAAAGAAAGACCGAGAGTCTGTTAACTGGAAAAGGCAGCAGTGGCTGCCTTGGGGCTGATCTCTCTCTCTCTGGGGCTGAGCTTCTGGAAAGCCAAGATCGATCGCCATGTCTGATGTGAAGTCCGACATGTCCCAGACAACTGAATCCTGTCCCCTCTTGTCACACAAATTGGGCGCAGAGGGAGTACTGTCTTGTCTTCCCAAAATGGAGAAGTGAACTGCATCGCGCAAAGGGAATGGTCAGGGAGACTCACAGGAGCTCTAGACTTAGAGGAATTTGAGTGCTGGTACAAAGTGTAACCTTCTCCGTGAATTACTCCAAGCAAAATAGAGAAGAGAAGTGAGAAAAGAGGTCATACAAGGTGTGCGTGCAAAGACACCAGCTCTGTTCAAACTTACATGCATCAAATATTTGAACAAAGAAAAGCATAAACTACAGCTATTGTGCTGGGGATGGGTAGCAAATGTACCGGGCTAAAAAACTAAGTTGGATCCCATTTGATTTACATTTCAAACAAAATTAAAAGTAAATACCGAATACGCTCTGTTTAACAGACCTCGGTTTAGCAGACTTTGGATTCAGTGGACATTTTTTTGCTTCGGATTCTGTTCATTACATTAAGGGTCCTTTAAAATCAAGATTTTCTTATGGCCATTTGGATTTAACAGACGCCCTCCCCCTGGAAAGGCTTATTACATTGAGGTTTCACTGTACAGTCAGTATGATTACTCTCCAGTTCTGTATTTAGTGATTTCCTCCTGATCTTAGCCTTGAAATTACTCGCTCCTTATGAAATCCTGGATAAAAACAAATGTTGGCAAAAGATGCTGACAGTCACTTCTGCCTGACACATTATGACTGGAAACCATGCTCCCCAATCCCCAATCCCCCAGTCTGGGGTTATCATTCTAGGCAAAGGGCCCTCTGTAGTATGCTTAGAGGCACTCTTCCCCCTCTTACATACTATCCTTTGAGTTTCACTGTGACACAGAAGACAAGACAATGGTTCTGCATGAACAGGGACTGGATGGATTTTTCTGTAAGGAAGATGCTACAAAAAGGGAGGAAACAGGAAAGTAATTTCCCCACGCTACTCCCGTTTGCAGTCCCAGTTAAGGGTGACGTGTAGGAAGCATCTCCTTGACAAGGTAAGCACATCTCAACCAAGAGGTCTGCCAAACTCACAACTCCCCAAGGTGAGCAAAAACATGAGTAATGTGTGCTTGGCTCATGTTTTTTCAGGTCAGAACTTCCTGGGGAAAGAAAATCCCGTGGCCCAAATTCTCTTCCTCTCCCACCCCTGCCACCCTTCCCCTTATCCTCAATTCAGTAGCACAAGAGCAAAATGCTGATTCTTTTCACCCAACTCTGATAGTTTCATGCTCATCCTGGTGACACTTGGTTGCCATGACATTTGAAGAAATCCTTCCCCCCCATGGTGCTGTCTGCAAGAATACGAGTTCAAACATTTGCATCTACTTTCTCTCTTAGAAAGGCAATTTCTTCCACCAGTCCATGCTTTCCATGTTTTAACTAGCCTTGGGCTTCCAAAGCCCACTGACGCCCAATTCTGGGCACTGCCAGGAATGCTATTCTCAACACAGAAGATGAAGCAACTGACTTCACCGAGGGATACCTGGAAAGTCCATGGCAAATAGACACTATGAATCCCTTCCAGTTCATCCAGAGCAGAGGAAAAGGAGGGGAAGAAATGAGGGAGGACTTTCCAGGGAAAGAAATACAGCAGGAGGACAGATGAAGGGTGGGACCATCAAAAGAACCTACTCAGCACTGCCACTTGGTGGTGGTAGAGACTGATGATTTCGGTTGTGTGTTTATCCTTCACAACACAATGGAAGTTTCAGCCTACGGTTGCTTCCCCTGACCAGGATCCAACAAGACCTGGCAATGGCTAAGAGCAGGAAAGTTGAAGAAAGAGACAGAGGGGCTAATTCTGGCTGCACAAGACCAAGCCTTAAAAACAAATGCATTAAAACCAAAAACTGAAAAGACAGCAACAGACAGCAAATGCCGCCTCTGCAAAGAAGCTGAA